TCCTATCACAGATAGCATTGTACCTCATGACTGATCTGGCTATGTTCTTTTTGACAATGGATGCAACACCATTCCTCTTCAATTTGTCATTCCCAGCATAGTAAACCGTGTGGTTGACAGATTTAAAATGGCCAATACCAGTCCATTTCAGCTCACTAATGCCTAAGATATCGATGTTTATGCGTTCCATTTCATTTTTGGCAACTTTCAATTTTCCCAAATTCATACTTTGTACATTCCATGTTCTGATTTTCTATGGATGTTTACAGCTGTTTCTCTTCATTTTGAGTTGTGCCCCATCAGCAAATGAAGGTCCCATGGGCTTGTCTCCATTCGCATCATCACAGTCAACTCTACTTTGAGGAGGCAGCTCTTCACTAGTCACATTTTGAGTGCCTTCCAAGGGGCTCATTTTCCGGCGCTATATCTGACAGTTTTTCCCTGCTATTCATAAGATTTTCAGTGACTAAATATTCAGAAGTAGTTTGTCACTCCTTCTTCCTAGTCTGTCTTCATCTGGAAGCTCTTCTGAAACCTGTCCACCAAGGGTGACCCTGCTGGTATTTAAAATACTAGTGGCATAGCTTTCAGAATCACACCAACTCACAAGCCAGAACAGTACTACAAAAGAAGTGTTCAATATTGCCCTTAGAAACTTTCAACATTTCAAGTCAAATCTTGATTTTTTTTCTTAATTTCTTTCATCTTGAGAAATGCTGAGTGTGTCCTAATTTGGTTTTCTAATTCCATGTCTTGGCAGATTTCATTATAATGCTGACTTTTGTCTTCTTGAGCTGCCCTTTTAAATTTTCCATTCAGCTCTTTTATCTCTTTATTTCTTCCACTTGCTTTAGCATCTCTACCCTGGCAAGCAAGTTTCAGAGTCTCGTCTGACATATATTTTGGTCTTTTCTTGCTTTCTTGACTTCTTAATGACCTTTTGCTTTCTTCCTGGATGATTTTCTTCATGTCAGCCCACAACTCTTCTGGCCATCAACTACTAGTGTCTAATGAATCAAATCTCTTATTGAGATGATCTGTAAATTCAGGTGGGTTATGTTCAGGGTCATATTTTGGCTCTCATGTACTTGTTTCAATTTTCTTCAGCTTCTACCAATAGGTTTTTGTAGGTATTCTTTATTAGGTGAGGGAGTTACACTGTCTTTCTAGGTGCTAAAGATTTTATTATATATTGATATTTAATTAGGCAACCGTATGTGTAGTAATTAAGGTTTTGTGTCAACTTAGCTGTACCAGGATTCTCACTGGTTTAGCAGTTAAAATGTTGTCATCATTTCCTTGATGAGATATAATATCAATCCCATAATATGATCTGATGTGATCTGCCCTGATCTGATATCATTGTCCAATGTGTTGTTAATCCTCACTTCTATGATGTTAATGAGGTCAGATTCAACATGATTAGGGTGAATCTTAAACCAATCTCTTCTGAGATGTAAAAGAAGTGAGCAGAGAGAGAGGGACTCCCTGCCACCAAGAAAGAAGAGCCAGGAATGGAATTTGTCCATAGGATTTGCGGTGGGGTCCCTGTACTGTGAAGCTCCTAGATCCAGAGGAAGACTGATGCCAAGATACATGGAGCTCTCCAAGGAATGCTAGGCCTACAGATGCTAAAATCAGGCAAGGGCTTTTGTTCCAAGCCAGTGCTCTGAATTCTGACTTCTAATTTCCTAAACTGTGAGAGAATAAATTTCTATTTGTTAAAGCCATCTACTTGTTGTATTTCTGGTACCGCAGCACTAGTAACTAGGACAATGTGCTCTATATTTTTTTATTTTAGTCTTTGTCTTCTTGATCTACATGGACAGGCAAAGTAATGCTCAAGTCTTGGCTTCAGCAGATGTAGTCAAAGAATATATTTAATGTTCCCTTTTACCTGTTCTATTTATTTTCCATAGTTCTTTATGTCTTCTAATATATTATGCTTTTGTTATATATAATTTATATTTGTTTGCTTTCTATCTCCTATCAATACAATATAAGTTCTATGAGAGCAGGGTTCTAGGTCTGTTGTTTACACAATGTGTAGGATCCCTGGTGACAAAGTGATTAACTGCTCGGGTGTCAACTAAAAACTCAACAGTTTGAATCCACCAGCCATGCCATAGGAGAAAGATGTGGCAGTCTGCTTCCATAAAGATTTACAACCATGGAAATAATATACAGTCACTCTGAGTAGTAACCAACCTGATGGCAATGGGCTTTGATCCCAAACACCTAAAGTAGTGCCTGACGTGAAGTAGATGTCAAGAAATATTTGCTGAATTAGTGATTGGCACACAACACTATGAATTCATATGCAAATGGAAAAAGTGAAAGAACACTTCATGATTTATTTTTCTTCAATTACCTAATCTTTTCTTAATGCCTACTATTTTATTTTATGCTTTCAGATATCAACATGGCAGGAGAACCCAAACCATACAGACCAAAACCTGGAAACAAGAGGCCCCTTTCAGCACTTTATAGGTATGTAGACAAGCATTGTTTTACTATATATTGTAGTGAACATTTCTTGCAACTTTTTAAATTATATATAACCTATAAAAATGTCAAATATTTTAAACAACAATCCCTATTGGTCTAAAGTGCTTTAAAATGCTGGTGGTCAAAATATAAATATATCATGCAGCATTGGAAGGGACCTGGGCTCTATAACTTTCTCTTGGCTACTTAAACAGCACTTCTACAAAGTATGTCTCTACTGAAGTGTAATGAAAATCTCTAATGACTCTACCTGCCAAGTGGTAGAAAGCTCAATATATGTGTAGTCCCTGATTCATGAGTTTCTACTTTCATTTAGATGCATACTGCTGAGAATTCCCTACGTTCTTCCTAGCCCAATGGTGTATATATTTTTTTTTCAAAAAGATACATGTATATGACATACTCTGTTTGTGTTTTACATATGTTAATAAATTTCCACAACCCTATTATATAGCTATTGCTGCTTTCAGTTTATAGATCAAGAACCTGAGATGCAGTTTCCAACTGATTTTTCCAAGGTCCTACACTGTTAAATGATGTTACCAATACTTAAACTCATGCCTTCTTTTGCCCTACCCAAATTCTTTCCACTCTATCACTCAGGCTACTTTGTTACAAACTACATGTTTCTCTCACCCCCATTTCTCCAAAGCAACAAACACCAACGTTCTCTTTCCCAGACAGTAATATCTATTTCCTTATGCCTTTCCTAATGTTTTTGTGTCTAAGTCAAGTTAACATTCTAGTCTTTCCCCTCTAAACACACACAAAAAATAAATCCCATGCCATCAAGTCAAATTCAACTCATATTTTTTTTCCTCTGTTGTTGTTGTTGTTGTTATGTGCCGTGGAGTCGGAACCGACTCATAGCGACCCTGTACAGGGTTTCCGAGGGTGTAAATCTTTACGGGAGTAGAAAGCCTCATCTTTCTCCCGCGGAGCAGCTGGTAGTTTCGAACTGCTGACCTTGCGGTTCACAGCCCGAGTCGTAACCACTACGCTACCAGAGCTCCTTTTTTTTCCTCTAGGTGCCCCGATTTATAGATGTCCTGGTAGATACCTTAGACTAGATTTAGCACCTGTGTTGTTCTGCATGTGGTGTAAAATTCAGTTAATTTTGGAAATATGGAAACTGGAGTAAATTCAGAATTATCACTTTATGAAACAGTCACTTTTTAAAAAATTCAAATGCTACCGTCAAGCCATATGTCCCACTTCATGTACTTTTTCCATTGGCTTTTGTACTGTAAGTGCTGACTTTGCATCTATCTCTGTTAAATTCCATTCTGTTAGATTTAGCCAATTGTTCCAGTCTATTGAGATCTCCTATCATCCAATTTATGTGCTCCTTTTCCAGATACATATCATCATTCCATCTGTGTCCATATCCAAAAAGCTAATGTAAGTGTTGAGAAAATCTCCATGTTTCCTGATATCATTTGGATAAAGGAGAATTGAGTTATATATGTTCAGATTGATTGCATTCTGCTATAGTATAGCAGTGTTCTCAAAAGAGAGCTTCTTGCTGTTTTCTTGTCTGTGTTCTCTAAAAACAAGCATATCTCCTTTGCAGCCACTCACAGCCTCATTTCTTGAACTGTAAAATACAGAGTTGATATTAAATGAACTCTAAGGTCCCATTCATGGCTAGTATCCCAAGGTGTCTAATGAATGATGATCAGAGATTTTAAAATATGTACTTAAAAATATTATATTAATTTCTCTGATTGTTTTGGCTATTTTAAAGCTATAGGGCTTAGCAAATATTGATAACTGATCATAAGGCAGTATTGATGTTAGAGAGTAAAGATGCAATCACAAATGAAAGACAAATGAAAGTTTACATTGGCTGTGGTAAAGAAGAGTGTTTATAAAACGGAGAAATATGAATTATTTTTAACAGGCTTATTTTCAAATATATGTAGAACACTTCAAAAATAATATTTCCTGTTATTCAAAAATTAAATTGGCAATGACTGTTTTCTTAAAGAATAACTACTGACTTCAATGATGTTCATTTTCTTCATCTTCCCTTTTCTTAAATTGCTTTAATTTTCTTATGGGAAAGGAAGCTCATGACAAGAAACAACTATTTAAACTGTCTATTTCTCTATTAATGAGTTAGGTTGGATTCAAAAGAAATAAAGGTAGAATTTCACTTAATTCCACTGTATTGAATACAAATCACAGCAGCAAGGAAATGTTTATTTATCTTCTTTCTATTTGTTCACACAAATTAAAGCTAGGGTACAATGAAACTGCAAAGTGATAGCAAAGAAAAGAAAATAGAGCAAGCGTATAATTGATAAAGTGCTTTAAGATGCATTATCTAATACTTATGTAAGGTAAATAATAATATCCAACTTTTATGTAGACAAACTTATTATTTCATATTCTTTATTAATCTGTCCATCACAGATTTCCACAAGGTTGGTATTGTATGCCTTACTTTATAGATGAGAAAACTAAATTTCAAAGAAGATAATGGACTTGCCTAATGTAAATAGTGAGATTAGTTACTGAACTCTGGATTTTCACCTTCAAGTTCAGTGACCTTTCCACTGTATCATAAATCCTTATATTCATTCACTTGCCACTATTCAAACAATCAGATTATAAATAGCAGTTTCCTGACCACCAAAATCAATAATCACTTATACTTTTATACATATATTCCATTCCAGCAAATGGCAAAAGGAAAACTGTACAGACACTACATAAGAACAACAGATGTATCGCCTACTTGAGGATAGCAAGAATAGTTAACGATTTTGCTACTAACTAAAGATTCAGTTCCATCTAAAGGGGGCTCAGAAGAAAGACCTGAAGATCTGCTTCCATAAAATCACAGCCATTGAAAACTCTATGGAGTGTAGTTCTACTCTGAAATACATAGAGTTGTCATGAGTTGGAATCAACTCAATGGCAACTAGTTTGACTTGGTTTTTCTATGATCACAGACTAGAGGTTTTGAATCTGAAACTGAAACTGAATCCTGGGTCTTTCAACTCTACTTTCCATCTTGTTTATATTGTTGTATTCCCTTGAGTCAGTCAGTTCTGACTTTTAGCAACCCTACAGAACAAAGTGGAACTGGCTCCACATTGTGTTCTAGGCTGTCAGTTTAAGGGATTAGACTGCCACATACTTCTGTGGAGTGGCTGGTGGGTTTGAACTGCCCACTTTTCATTAGTAGCCAAGCTCTTAACCATTGTACCATCAGATCGGCTCTATTTTCTATGGTGGTCGTGGTGGTTTTGTGCCATGGAGTTGGTTCCGACTCATAGTAACCCTGTATAGCATTTTCCAAGGCTGTAAATCTTTATGGGAGCAGAAAGCCTCATCTTTCTCCCATGGAACCACTGGTAGTTTAGAACTGCTGACTGTGATATTAGCAGCTCGACTCATAACCACTGTGCTATTGACTATATCAAACTTCAAACCTCTTTGAGCTTAAAGTATCTAGCTTCTTTATCTAGTATAGCACTTGCATAATTTTCTTGAGTCAAAGGTTCTAAGGTCACCCTCAGGTTTGACAACCCTAGAAAGACTCACAGAACTCAAAAAAGTTATGTTGTTGGTTATGGTTTATTACAACAAAAGGATACAGTTTAAAATCAACAAAAAAGAAGGTGGCTACAACAAAATCCAGGAAAAACCAGGAACAAGCTGGCAGTTGTCCTCCCATAGTGGACAAGCTGGCAGTTGTCCTACCATACTCAATTCTCCTAGTATTGATATATAGAATCACATATGAATATATTACCAACTGGGGAAGCTCATCTGGGCCTTGGTGTCCGTGGTAAGAGGTAAAGGAATAAAGTGCCTAGAGTCCTGGTGTGGCACTGTGGGCTAATGCATCAGACTGTAAAGTTGTTTGAACTGCAAGGTCGGTGGTTCAAGCTCACCAGCTGCTCCTTGGAAACCCTATACAGTGTTGCTATCAGCTTGACGGCACTTAACAACAACAACAATGACGACATTACCTATTAACTCTCCAGTCCCTCCAGAGTTTTAATGGATACTTCTTGGTGCATGGTCCCAGATACACAAAATCAGACATTCACCATAAATCACATCACTAACATAAGCTATCTACTGAGTCCCAATGTCCCAAGTATACAAAGATGCTCTTATCAGACATGATATTCTAAGGGCTTAAAGGTTATCTCTCGCAAGCAGGTCGAGGGTCAGTACTGAAGAACTTTTTGGACAACCTGCAGGTCTGCTGAACAAACCTTTATTGTACTGGATAAAACTGCATAATTTAGGTAAAAGCACCTAGAGCCATGTAAGAAATATGATAGCAGTTGAAAAGGGGATGGTTTCTGCTTTCCAGTTCTTTTATCTTTGTGTCTGTTTCTTTGTCTGGAAAATGAAAGCACTGGAATAGATTCATTCACAAGACATATTTTTTGTGTCTATTATGCTCTAAGCATTATGGGAACTGATGCTGTGGGCAAATGGCACAGAAATGCCAGGACAACAATGAAAGAGAAAGCATTAAGAAATAAAATTAAAAATTTTTAATAGGTAATCTCTGATTCACCTTCCTGTTCTAAACTAACACATCGCCATAATTGTTTACTCTGTTGGGAGTCACAAATGATCTGCTATAACACTTTATTCTTTACCTACATTTACAAATAAATAAGGACACCATAAGTGAAGTATGCATATAGACCTATAAGAAAACATATGAGTAAGTTACTGGCTCTACTTAGTGGTAAGGGAGTGAAAAGCCTGAGAAATACACAGGAAGAAAGTAATTCTTGAGCTTGCTTCTGCATGAACAGGCAGTCACTCCGCAGATAAAGGGAAAGACGGAAATAGCAAGCATAGAAAATGTGTATGCAGGTATAGGACACAGACCCAAAGAGCATCTCATGGTAGCATCTGAGATAGCCTACTTGGTGGGGATAGATTACTAGTATGGTGTGATAACCCAGATATGAGAGTCCTTAAATATGAGATTAAGAAGA